TGGCCCCTGACAGGAAGAAGGTGGCAGCTACTTGGTCTCCCTGGATCTGGGCAGCGATGATGCCTCTTGCTGGAGAAATCAGGGCATAATGCAGCTCAGGTTGAAACCAGGGACACTGTGGAGACAGCAGAGCTGATGACCTCTGCCAGCCATTTGAAAGGTTGAAACCCCTCTAAGCTTGCTTGTTCTCTGCAGCTTTCTCTCCCAGAAGGCCATATGCACGTCATGGCCACTGCTGCTGGTGCTGAGAACTCACAGTAACCTGAAAGTCAACAACAACCCTAAGGTGTAAGTACTTTCTCCATGTAGGACAACTCTGTAACACCTGTGGAGAAGCAGAATTAGTGCTTCTAAGTGCAACATTAGTTCACAGCCATCCAGACCTGCATGCACAGCTTTTCCACTTCTGGCTAGGGAAAACATCCAGAAGAGCCGGTTGCAGGAGGACTTCCACCACTTGTTACCGGTATCCATGGTTTCCAAGCTGGAAACACCCAACAGTCACTAGCATTGGTCATGGCACCAGCTGCACCAGACAGTTGGCTTGGACATGTTGGCACAAGCTAGTACCCTCCTTTTGCCTATTGAAACACCTGTCCTGTGTGAGATTTGGTCCCCAGGAGAGGTCCAGGAGTTCCTACTCATTTCTGCAACCCAGAGGAGGATGAAAGGAGTGTGTCAATCACAATGAAGCCCAGTGGATGAAGCCCACCAAGTGATGATGCACACTCTGTTTGCCATGCCTGGATTGCGTGGGAAATGAAGGGGAAGGGGAGAGCTATGGATTCCCATAGCAGGACAAACACCCTGGAGACTCCAATCCATTTGCATCACAGGGGGAAAGCTGGGATTTCTCCTGCTTTGAGCACCACAGACCTTGTGAGCAGGACGTTTGGGATGTCTTTGGAGATACTTCTAGTTTCTGGATGGAAACTCTAGGCTGGTGTTTTCCTGCTTTTTCTGTCCCAGGAGCCTGAGCTGCTACAGCTGTTTCCTTGCCCTGGGTGCCCTGCCCGCTGCTCTACAGTCAGTGCTGGGCTGAGATCTACAAGTCCAGTGGTGGCCTCTGCTCCCTCAAGGCGTCCCAGCTGGCTCAGTGCTTCCTCAGCTGATCTCCTAGTGCCATCTGCCGTCTGACCCAACGCCGTCGTAGCGCGGTGGTGATGCCCCTGTCCATCTCCATCCTCAACCTACAAAAGGAGCTGGGAAGGGCAGCCTCCTGCCAAGCTCAGGTGGGCCCCACTGCCCGGTGCTGAACGTGTCATTGCTGTGTCACCACGTCAACTGTTGTGTTCTCTTAGATTTTGGCTAAATGAGTAATCCCATAGGCTGTGAGCTGGGAGAGGCACCCTCAAGAGGAGATCCCCAGCCTGAGGAACTTCCCAGGTTCAGATGAACCAAGCCATGATTGAGTGGCAGGTGATGGTGCCACCGCAGCCAGGCTGGGCTATAGACAGCCTCCCCCCAGCAAGCCCGCTGAGATTCAGTGTGGTTTGGGGTAACAAAGGAATAGCTGAGCAAAAAAGTAAAAAAGATTTGTTTCTATTGCTTCAGTACTGGAAAACATTTGTGTCAAGAGCCGACCCTGTCCCCATGCCTGGGGGAAGAGGATGGTACAAGACAAAACCTATGCATTTTTCTGTGCAAAAATCTGCTCTCTTCCCTGTCCCAAACTGCAGCCTGCTGCTAAGCTCCCACATGGGAGTGTCCTGCTTTCTCGTGCTCAGGTCTCGGGTGCCACCTCCTGGCTTTCCCCCTGTACTATGCATCCCATCGACACGGTGACGCGGAGCGGGAGGACCTTTCCCATTGCGCTATCAGATAGAACAAAGCCATGCGGTTCAAAGCATTTATTCTTTGCGGCTTGACCTAGTCTCACTTATTTTTGCATCAGGATGGAGGTAAACCCTGTAACAACCCTCCTGCCACCCGCCCGCCGTTAGCAGAGTCCAGGCTTTTGTGCAGAATCCCATCATGGCAGCACCCTGACTCCCAAAGGTCCTGTGGGCTGAGACCCACCGCCTTGGCCCTGGCACATCTCACCTTCACCAGATGCTGTCGTGGAGGGTGTGTTTTGCTGCTAAAGCCAGGTGCAGTCTGGGTCTGAGGCTACTTGAGACATCTCCTCATAGCTGTGGCTACTGATGTCTGCCCAAACAAACACTGGGAGGACAACAGGGTCATTGAAATGGTCTTTAACCATGCAAGGCTTCAGCCTAAGCGAGAAGGGATGCCTTTGGGAAAGACGACAGACTCTTCTTGCACTGCTGGTACAGACCAGCAGATGGAAGTTGTTAGGATTTGCAGGAGCCATTTTGATCCTTTGCAGAAGCCGTTTGAGTTGCTCTTCAGTGCATTTGCTGTAGAAAGGGGCTGAAGGCACCAGCTCATGGAATCTGCACAACCGAGCTGCATCTGGGTACCCTTAATCATCACCAGGACCATGAGGAGAGCATCCTGACCTCAAAGACTGCTGTGACCAGCAGGTCCCTGGAGGAATGCAGGTGTTAAATGACCTGCCTCCTTTCCTATATCTCTGACTTCAGATAGGGACTGAGTTTTGCATGTGGCCTCCCTGAAGACACCCTGGCCTGTGACGTGTCTGATCAGCACAGCTGTGCCAAGAAGCCTTTTTGCATCAGAACAGCTGGATTTTCTATTTCCAAAGTGCTCTTGGGCCACAGGCCTTGCCAGAGCACAGTGCTTTTGGGAGAGAAAAGTTCACATGCTCCCACGTTGATTTATCCTTTTGTCCCACCTTCAAAATGAGGCAAACAAAAGGAGAGTTTCCAGTAAAATGTAAAATTAAAATGTGGCAAAACCAGACTTTTCCCTCATTTGTGCTTTTTCCAGCCCTGATGTGATGCTCAGAGCGCATCCCTAGGGCAGGACACAAGTGAAGGCAGATGGGAGGGGCGCGGGGGTGGCGGCAGGGGCATTGCACACACACACGAGCAGGCAGGGACACAGGCAGCAAGCGCACACACGTGTGCACACGCCTGCGCCAGGCGTGCACCGGCCAGGGAGGGGGACGCTTGGGGACCCTCAGCACAGACGTGACCTACTTTAGCTCCAAAGCGAGCCACGTTTTGCGGGCCAGGGTAAAAGCTTAATAGAGGCAGGCATGAATTATTGACGGTCCGGGCATGTTAATGCATGGACTAACAGGGCTTTTCTGCAGCAAAAAAAAGTCTCCTCTATAATTTAAAGCCTCTCACGCTGCCATCACTGCCCCCCTGCACTCTCTGGGGTGTTTCCGCTTAGGTGAGCAGAGCACTGAGATGTGGATAGACCCAGCAGGGGAGAGCCGGCCCGGCAGGAGCCGGGATGCGGGCAGGAGCCGGGATGCGGGCAGGAGCCGGGATGCGGGCAGGAGCCGGGGTGAGGGCAGGAGCCGGGATGCGGGCAGGAGCCGGTGTGAGGGCAGGAGCCGGGATGAGGGCAGGAGCCGGGATGCGGGCAGGAGCCGGGATGAGGGCAGGAGCCGGGATGCGGGCAGGAGCCAGGGTGAGGGCAGGAGCCGGGATGCGGGCAGGAGCCGGGATGCGGGCAGGAGCCGGGATGCGGGCAGGAGCCGGGATGAGGGCAGGAGCCGGGATGTGGGCAGGAGCCAGGGTGAGGGCAGGAGCCGGGATGCGGGCAGGAGCCGGGATGGGGGCAGGAGCCGGGATGGGGGCAGGAGCCGGGATGGGGGCAGGAGCCGGGGTGAGGGCAGGAGCCGGGATGAGGGCAGGAGCCGGGATGAGGGCAGGAGCCGGGGTGGGGGCAGGAGCCGGGGTGAGGGCAGGAGCCGGGGTGAGGGCAGGATCCGGGGTGAGGGCAGGAGCAGGAGCCAGCTTTGCCTGAGCCCGAGGCAGGGGGATCCCGTGGGAAGGGGCTGGCAGCACCGCTCCGGCTCGGGCAGCCTCGCAGCGAGTCACTTCCCGGAGCCCATTCCCAGGCCGGGGGCCACTGGGGCTATTTTTAGAGCTGCCTTTTGCTGCTTCTGGTTGTTTTATTTTCTCTCGCTGCTCCTCGCCTTCGCGCAGCGCTGCCCTCGCAGCCCTGGGAGAAAGGGAAACACTGGTCCCTGGGGCGGGAGGGCTTTAGGAGCACCACAAGGCAGGGACAAGCTGAGCTACAGGAACCCCTTCAGCACAGCGGGGAGACCACCCCAGGACATCTCCTACCAGGACCCCCACCCCCTGCCCCAGGGGCGCCATTCCCACAGCCCTTTCAGCAGGTACAGATAAGGCTACAAGAAGACATCGTCAGTCCCTGCCAGGGCGCCCTGCACCGGAGGAGGAGCTGGGCGATGCTACAGCTCCAGAGGACGTTTGCCTTCTATGGACATCTCTCCTCGCTGCACCGCTGGCACGGAGGAGAGGCCTCAGCCTCCGCAGGCGCTGGGGAGGGAAACAAACACACCCCAGAAAGGCTCACCGAGGCCTCCAGCAGCACCCGGCCTCAACAGCCGCCCCTTTAACACATGGGAGCAGGCAAGGACTCACCCTGCTCCTATGGGGACAAGATGCCCCAACCCCAGTCACAGCGTGCAGCAGCATCCCAGAGCAGCCTGTATCCTTGTGGGCAGGGCTGGGGCAGCAGGCACTGAGGGGAAGGGGTGTGGGTACGAGCAAGCCTGAAGCAGCCCCAGAAGAAAACACACGAGACCACAGAAAGAGTCACAGCAGCCTCTGGGGATATATTTTTGTCCTTTTTTTGTTTGTTTCTTTTTTTTTTCTTTTTTTGCATTTTATATATTATCCAGTTTCACATTCTCATAGGATCAGCAATTATATAGCAACTTATTCTCAACTCTTTTAATACAAGCGAGACAGCCATGGTCATATAATACTGAAAGCACTTCAATACCAAGCAGTAAGATGCTAGAACAAAAATTGCACAAGTTCTCATTTACTATGCCTGACTGAATCATTGGTACAGAAGACAACCCTTCTCTTTCAAGCTTTGAACTAAACATTAACTTATCTTACAGGATTACAATTTCTCTTTAATAATAATAATAATAATTAATTGCACACAAACACAAAAAATTCTTTATGATGCATAAATATTTCCTTATTACACATGGTACAAAAATACTCGTACTTCTTTTTTTGTTTGGTATTCCCATAAGGATGGCTGATGTTTGGCAGGACTGGATGCTCTCCAAGCAGAAGGATGTGGAAAACAAAAAAAAAACCAAAAAAACCCCAAAAAAAAAGAGTTTAGATCTTTTACAGCTGTTCTATAGATAGAAGTTTGAGGAAGAAAAAGAGCTAATAGAATAACCCTGACTCTGAGAGCGGAGGAGAACGGCTGAGAACAGAAACCCAGTGCATTGTACTCGGAAAAAACCAAAACAAGGGAAAAAAAACAACGGAGCATTTCTCAAATTTTTCTGGGTGTACTGGGAAGGGGAGGGCAGAGGTGGGAGAAGGGGTGAGACAAGGACAGTTTAGTATTTCTCAAAGCCCAGTCTTCACTGAAGCAAGATGAAAACGTCGATGGGTCAATCTGTTGGGCCAAGACCTGTTGCTAACGGTTACACAAACGCTAGAACAAACAAACTTATACTCACACATACACAAGTTAAGTGTTTTAATTCATGCCAGAAAACATGCAAAACCCATTGCCTTTCGTTCCCTTCAGCTGAGCCACTGGGACAGGGCGAGCCCGGGAAAGCCCAGGACAGAGACCCCCAGGCTGGGCTTCGGCACAGCCACACTGCAAAGCTCAGCCAGGGAGGATGTCCTGGGGAGGGAGGGAGGGATGGAGGCGGCGCATAGCCCATGGTGGCTTCACAGTCCAGGGATGGGGGATGCTGGCAGCCCCTGGGGAGCACGCCGGGGCCGGGTGCCTTGTCACCAAACCAAACCGAGGGGAGTTTGAATGATCATCCCTGGCACATCGCTCCGGAGAGGCAGGGAGGAGGAACACAAGCCGAGGAGAGACGCTGCAGGAAAGGAGCAGCAGTGAGCAGGGCTGGCTGGATCTGCTCCCAAAGCAGCACCCACAGCCCCTTCTACACCCTCAGACTTGGGGCAGGGAGAGTTTCCCTGCTCCCACAAGGGTGGATTTGGCTCCATCATCCATCACTGTTAACCAAACCACAGTGGGTTGATGTGGGGGGCTGAGCCCAAGCTCCCATCCCTCCTCCCCACAGGAGCCCAAGAATCCCAGGGATGAACAAGGCAAGCACCTGGCTCCAAGAGCCATCAATTACTTACTAACGAACTAACAAAACTGACGAGACTTCCATCCTTGCTGGGTAGCTTCAGAGGGAGGATACCAGCGCATCTGGAAAAGAAAGCCATGCCAGAGGTCCATGATTCAGGATTATCTCAGCCAGAGCCCAAACCACCAGCTCCTTCAGGCCATGTACAAACTCCACTGATTTTCCATGCTGGAGACATCCTTAACTGAGGCTCCAGGGTGAGCCACAAATACTACCTGAGTAGCATCCCAACCTGGGGCTGCACTGTGCCAGCCCTACACTGGCCAGCTCTGGTGGCTCATGCAAGGACAGGCCCAGGCTCACCAGGCACTGGGACCTGGGCAGGTCCTCCCCTAAGGAGCACAGCAGGGCCCCATACATCTCAACTACCGTCTCCCTGCTGGCATAACCAGAAGATAGCCACCAAGTACACACTCATGCCTGGCCCCTTGCCACTACAACACACAGAACATCACCCTCCAAGCTGAGAAAACTCCTCACCACCAAGCTATAGATGAAGTTTACCACTGCAGAAGTGTGCACAAGGAGGGGCTGTTCCCCCCCACCCAGCATGCTCCCACTCCCACACCCCCCCATATTTACATCCTTCCCCTTGTTCAGGCTAAGGCAGGTGGAGGTGGCTCACGTTGGGCATTCAGCATCCCAAAGTGGTGGCCACTCCGCCCTCAGACAGCAGAAGGAGGCATCTCCTCACCACACATTTAAACCAGACCACCTCTACATGACATGCATTGGGTAAGAACTGACTCATCCACCACAAAGACGACCCATGAAGTTTCTAAGCCACAGCCCAGCCATCAGAAGAGGCTCCAGGCAAACCACGCCATAGGAAGAACTTGGTAGAGCTGCAAACCAGCAAGACTTGGAGGCTTCCCTGGCAGGTCATTGCTGCCACATCTACTGCTGAGGCCTGCTCCTTACCAAGGATTGCTAGATGGGCACCCAACAAGAGACAGGGAAACAGTAACTGAACAGACACTTTCCAGCCTGTCAGTAGATGCAGCAACCTGGCCATGTCCAGTAGAACAGCATCAGACATCCAGATGCTCCCGTTTGGTACATCAGGCTGAGCTGAGGTAGCAGCTTTATGCCCGAGAGCAGCAGGAAAAGTCTGAATCACTTGACTGAGCACAGATCGGAGCAGGAACAGCTCATGGTTCAGTCCTGCTGCTGCAAATGGAGCTGAAACACAGTGGCCAGCCCCACTCTCCTTCCTCTCTAGCTGGTGCTGACGGGCATCAAAGAGCAGCAGCTACACAGAGGGCTCTGGGTACCAGCAGAATGATGGACTGTAAGATGGGCAGAAAGGGGCAGAAAACCCTCTGGAGCCTGGTGTGAACTGTTCCCCTTGTTAAACCATCCTGGCCAGGCTGTCCCCTCGCCTGAACAAGCCCGGCTGGACGCTCTCCTCCCAAGCACATGCACTACGTGCCAGAGGAAAAACAACAGTATTCCCAGAGCAGCTCCAACCCCCACGCATGGCACTCTCCCACTGAGAGGGACCCTTGGTCAAGGACATTCAGGCTTTCTTGAAGCAAGCACCCAGATCACTTGGGCAAAGGAAGAGCGGCAGCCACAGCCAAAGCATCTAGCTTGGCATGGCAGAAGCTTTAGAGCTTCTCTAACCCATAGCTGCTGGCACCCAGCAAGGGGGAACCTGCCAGCCAGGGCTCTCACCAGAGTCAGGTCTCCTCTGCAGGCTCTGAGCACGCAAGAGACCTCAAGAAAACCACAGCAGGTTGAGATATAACTGGCAATGAGGGGGAGATGGGAACTGGCTATGTTCTAACCAGGCACACCGTCCACCTGATGCACTACGTGACTCTGCAATGTAAGTCTTGCTGCAAAGGTAACCAGGAGCAGACATGCAGACCCGTGTCCCCAGTCCCAGCTGTCCAGAAGCTGTACACAGGCCTTCAGAATAGTCAGAACTGAAAACCAGGACACCCAGAGCCTCAGTGACAGCCCTTGGATTACTCTCCAAGCTAGGCACATTCACAGTCGGTCCCTTCAAACCCTACTCCCTTTACCCCTGTAAGAAGCAGATGTCTGGCATCCAATGAGGATGCCAAGCCAGAGGCACTGTATTCACTCCTTCATGTGAAGACATGCAGCAAACTGCCAGGACCTTGACACTGCAGCATCCTTACTGCAGCGGGAGTGGACAAAAAGCACACACATCCCAGAAAGCACAGCTGCCTGTGATGGCCAAGCCCTCCCTCCACAAGCACAAGGGCTGCGATGCCAGTAACTGAACAGCTTTAAGCATGATTCAGTGACCTCAAGTCTGTCTTCCTGTGACAGCTCCCACAGGGAGGAGCTCCTGCTGGATCCCAGCTCCCGTTTGGGCATCAGCACCACATTTGAAGCTGTCTGTAGCCTGGCACACTGGGCTGGTTGGACTCCTTGCCAGACACCTTCACAAGGCAAGTGTCACCAAATCAGCTCCCACCTGGCCCTGTAGCTTGCTCCGTGACACAGCAGCCAGATGTGTCCCATTCAGTCCAGCCTGGGGTGGAAGGAATCAAGGATGTGGACTTGACCAAGACTCTCTTCCCCAGTCCCATCTAGTGCTATGTTGGTGCCATGCACACCATGCTCCATCAGCCTGTAAGAGGGACCAAGCTCAGCTGCACCCTTGGTGCCCAGCCTGAGGCCACCAAACTGGTCTGGGGCACAGTTATCTCCTTCCACCAACACAGGCCACAAAGACAGCAGCTTGGTGCAGGCAGCAGCATCACTGGCAACTGTGGGCCCACCACAGTGCAAGGACAGGGTCTCCTTCCTGCCCCCAGCCCTGTCACCAGGAGTTGCTTGCTCAGCAGAGCCACATCTCCTCAGCAGCCGCAGTCCTCCAGGGCCGAGGTCTCACACTGCAGCACCCTCCCCTCCACAGCTGGAACTCGTTTGTTTCCTCCTGCCCAGCAGCAACAGGAAACTCCCCCTGCATTCACAAGGCTGCGAGTGCTTAACCCTGGGAGCTGCCTCCATCCCACGCCAGGCTCTGGGTAAGTGGGCACATGCAGGACTGTTATCCCCCAACCCAGCTCCTCATCCTCTCCTCTGCCCCACACGCACCCCCCACCCCAGGCCTGGCCAAGCTTCAAGTTTCAACAGAAATCCTGTCACTGTGGATTAATGAGCCTCCACTTCCAATGGAGCACCTCTCCTTGCCTTCCTCTGTAGGTCTTCAATGCTCGTGCACCAAACACAACCACCCTGGCTCGGGGTGGCCACACATGCCAGTAGCACAGAGGGGCTCAGCCTGGAGGCTGGCAGGAGCTTGTGCAGATGCAGTGATTCCAGGCACAAGCCAAGGCTCTAACACGCTGGCAGGGTGAGGAAGTGACCTGCCAGGTCTTTCAGCCCACAGAAAGAATAAGGACTTGATGGGATGAGGCAGGAACACCCCTCACTAGCGGGGATGTTTCCGAGACCAGCAGAAAGCACCAGAAGAACCAGACTGGAGGCAGCAGCTGGGCAAGAGGGCGGTTTTCACATCTAAAATGTCTTGGCACCTTGGTTTTGCCACAGGAGCAGAGAGGCTCTGCAAACAGAGGGCTCCTAGAGCCATCTGGAAGAGACCACCAGCACCATAGAGTCCCAAGAGGACTGCACCCTGGCAGCCAAGCCAGAGCACTTCCCATGGGGAGCAGGTTTCTCCAAGGGCCTTCAGAAGACCTGTCATCTCTCAGAATACTGCATCTGTCAGGGAGGAAGGTGAGAAAGGGTGACTGGAGACATCCAGCACTGGGTGAAGAAAGTGGAGCAAGGGAGGCTGTTACTGGAAGACACACAGTTGTTTCTGTAGCTGCATTAGCTCACAGCTGGAAGGGGGTCTGGCCACACCACCGCAAACATTGTACCTGCCTGTGGGAATGGAACAGGCACCACCAGCTCACTGCAGCCAGCCTTGAGCTGCAGTGTGCAACTCCTGGCCCAGGAAACAGCTGGAGAAGATGAATTTGTGCCTTTGCCCGCCACTTTCCAGAGGCCAGATGAAACATCCAGAAGAGAAGAGCCTCTCCCTTGCTGCAGCACAAGATCAGCACTACCTAAATGGTAAATGAGATAAATACCCCATCAGTGCTTCACTTTCCTTGTCAGGTCCTCCACTGCCTCTCCCAACTACCCTCAGAATTTCAATTTCCCATCTTGCTCACCATCCTTATGGAGAGCAATCCCATCACTAGGAAAGCATGAAAGATGGATGGCCTGAATACAGAGATCCATCCTCAAGCTGCCTTTAGCTCGGGTGGCCTGCCTTTCCTCCTTAGTTACTTCTACAGCTTTTTATCTTTGCTTTGCAGTCAGTTCCAGCATCTTGTGGTGCTCAGAGTGGTCCCTACCACTGGAATGGACCCAGCCACCTCCCCAGGTACAAGAAAGGCTCCCTGTGCAGGCAGGGACAAAGCACAGTGTTGTGTTCCTGGGAGCTGGTGGGACCCCAGCCAACACGTCCAAGAGCTGTACCTAGTTACCAGCTACTGATGTGCGAAGTGGCACCGTCAGCTATGCTGCTGCTGAGACAGCCTGACCCTGGCAAGCCACAGATACATCATGATCACCACTTTCCCATGCTGAGGGTCACTGCATGCAAGCCTTGGGCACACCACAGTGGTGGCCAGCAAGAGCTGCTCTGCTCCAGCTGGAAACACAGCTGACAGGGACACAGCCCAGGGCAGGCAAGGACAACCTGCAAAGGTGAACCCATGAGGAACTAAACATCGCCCACTGGCACTCTCTGGGCAAACATTTCCAGGCTCAGCAGCAGGCACTGCACCCAAGCCACACGCTTGTAGGGTCCTTCAGGGGTCTGGGTTAAGCGGAGGAGCATCCAAACACTTGCTGGTTAAGACCCAAGCAGCTCAACCCACCACCAAGAATACCTCACTTGCAATCAAATCACGCACATACATCCCCAAGGCAGCTATGGTGAGGGAGGGCTAGAGGACGTCTCACACCATGTCGAGGAGCATGCAGAAGATGATCGGAACTGATCCATTCTGTTGCTTAGAGGAGCGTTTTAACAGGCATCCATCCAATGCCTTGTACCCCTCTGGGCCTTGAGGCAGCTTATGCTGCAGCTCATGGAGACATTCCCATCTCAAAGTCCATAGCAAACAAGCATCTTTCCTTTTCCCAGACTGGACATGAGTTGTGCTGCTTTCCTTTGGGTTGAGCTAGGGAGAACCCAGGCTGGCCACAGGTTAGGGAGTCACTTCAGATGGCATCCTGGTTCAGTTTGCTCATCATGTGTGATTTAGCAAGAATGGCTGCTCAACAGGTACCTGGAGGAGCCAGGAGCATCCCCTGCTTGCTTTTCTCTGGATAGAAGGAAAGGGCTGGCCTGGGGAGAGCTTGCTGAGGACTGCCTGGCTAGCTATGCCAGCACTAAGTCATTGGAGTTCAGAAAGACATGAAGGTCTTGAAGAGTGCTTCACACCTCTGGGAAGCATGAAGGTTGCCCAGAAAGAATAATCCTGCAAAGCCCTACACAACAGCTCCAACAAACACGCCACAAGTTATCAGGTGTAGAAAATCCATCACCTTCTGCAGTCTCCCATCCCAGGGAGGTTCTATCAGAGCTCAGCTGACACAACATGAAGTTCAGGAGATCTTTGCCGATGGGACCATGAAGTGAGTCCAGAGGTTAGTGGTGCTCAAAGGCAGATCCCCACTGTCCAGCAGATCCACCAGGGCCATTGCTTGGTGCTGCAGGGCTCAGGCAGGTTGGTGGCACCAGGCGGTCACACACTCAGCAAGTAGCAGCCTCCCAGCAGTACAGCACTGACGGAGGAGGACCTGAGCCTGCCCCAGCACATCTTCACCGTACTCACAGCTCTCACCAGATCACAGCCACCATGAGCTGCCTCAGTCCATCCACAAGAGCAGCCACTGCTCAGGAAACGCAGCTTGCTCTAAGCCAGCTCCCGCAGCAAACAAGAGGGGAAGGTTTCTTTTGAGCACTGACATCTTCTCTGATCACTGGGCTCTGCCTCAGCTCAGTGCTGAGAAGCCTTAGGGTCCTGCTAGGCTCTTGCACCACCACCATATAGCCATGCTACAGGTCTGCTCCTTCTACCCACCACTTGCTTGGTCAGGTCCTAAGTTCAGGGACCCACATCTACCATCTCCTTAAAGCCTCCAGACAAGGCTGCTGCCAGCAGCAGCAACATGGATGCTCTGAGGGTACCTTGGGCAGCCCACCCCTAAAGAACTAGCATCTGCAACCTGCTTCCTGCCTTGAAAACATCTACCCTAGACAGCCTCCTGGGCTCTGGGTGCCCCACATGTCAGCCTAGTCTCCTGCAAGCACCATACTACAACCACCAACAGCATCAGTCATGTTCTTATGAGGTCTCCTACTCCCCACTCAGAGCCTGGCTTTGCAGCACTCCAAAACAAGCAGTTGCCCATCAGAGATGCAACACAGCCCAACTCCATCACACAGGCAATAGCTGTTCACCTGGTCCCAACAGAACACAACAAGCTGCATCATTATGATTGCATCAAGCTCTCCCCATGAGACCAATTCTGCACAGTCTTATAAGGGCAAAGGCAGACCTGGCCTCCCCTCTTTGATAAATTCTTTCCCGAACATCACTACCACACAGAGGAAGAACCACTACCCAGAGCCACTGCAATGAGAAGTGAGCCAAGACTCAGTTCCTTCAGTTAGAGCTGACCACAGCAACCATCCTCCCTGACAAACAGTCCCAAGCCAGGCCTTCTTCCCCCTTCGCCTGTGATGTCAGGTTGCAAGGGAGAAGCCAAGCTCCAGGAAGAACTTGCTCCATTTCCAGTAACTGGAAAGGAAAGAGGTGAGATTAGACCCATGATTAAGGGCAGGGTCTGCCCCGATATGCGATTCTGGAACAAAGTGACCGGCAAGTGCTGTTGTCTAAGGTGCCCACTAGAATTTAGTCGTGTGCTATCACTATCACGTCACTCACCTCCCCCACCGTGTGCCAGGAGTGAGATCAAGGTGTATATTTCTGCCTGCCCTCAAAGGGTCATGGTTGGGGAGGAACCAGGTTTCCTTCATGCCGAGCGGCAGGGTTGCCTCTGCCCTGGCTCAACCAGGCTGCTCCCCTCCCACCGGCGGGACCTGGCTGAGCCCAGTTCAGCTGGGAGGAGTTGATGTAAGATGGTGCCATGCTGTGTGCGCCATGTCATGTGCTGCCAAGTTGGAGATGTGGGTTAGAAAGAAGGCCTGGCATCTCATTCCCCAGGCTCTGGTGGGTGGGTAGCGTGAGGCCCATGCACTGGGTTGCCAAGGAGATACGGGCTACAGAGATGGGCAGAAGCTTGCAAATCCCATGGTGCACCTTGGAGGAGAGATGGTTACCTTACCAGTCTTTCCAGACGGGGCTGCCATCATGCTTAACACTTCTAGGAATGAAGCTGTAGTACAGCCACTCCACTAGCTGCAATAAGGCATCACTAGGATGTCCCATCTCCAGGGACAGCTCTGAGCTTCAGGGCTAGCCTGCGCTGGCATCATGGCTGGAGTTCACTAGGGACATCAAAGGAGGGATTTGAGAGAGGGTGGGAGGGAGGGAAGGCAAATGGGACAATCTTAAAGTCAGCAGAGTTCCCACAGGTAGAGGCCCTCGATGGTGCAGGGTCAGGCCCCAGTCACATCTGCAGCAGCCGGGTGCCTGCTGGGAACATCACCAACAGCTCCCATTGTGCCAGGCCAGGCCAGGCTCAGCCTGTGCCATCTCCTGCCCCTTGTCAACCCGTCAGCCCTCTGGGCAGCTCTCAGGAGGCTGCAGAGGTGCAGGGAGCAGCCACCTCCTCTCCTGCTCACTACCAGACTTAACACAGCTGCAGGGGGACAAGCACTGCAGGTTTAAATCTTCCGTGCCAAGCTCTCCCTTTAGCTACAGCCTCCAACTTCATGCCTGCTTCCAGACTGATTGTTATAGAGCTGCGATAGCTCTGGCCATCCCCATGAGCATCCTCCACAGCCAACACTAGCCTCAGGAGGAAGAGCTGCAGCTGGTCTGGAGAACAACCCATGTGCCCACCAGCAAGGAAAACCAACCCCTAACCAGCACAAGCAGAGGGCTCAGCACACCGAGACTAAGGTTAGCCCGGTTTGTGAGCAAAAGTCACTTCACTGACTCGCTCCACCCTGCCCCAGCTCTGCGAGGGAGAGGGCTCCAGCCTAGAGACCAGGCAGCTCGGACCTGCCAGCCTGAGTAATGTTTAACCCCATAAAACTTTATTGGTAACCTATACTGTGCCAGAAGGTCTCCCTGTGAGGCCACTGCCAGCTCCAGCACAAACCAGCAAGGAGCTCCTGTAACTACTCGGCCAGCCCAGGTACTCTTGGAAGAAAGCTGGGTCCAGCCATGTCCTAGAGAGGCTACACTTAAATGGTGACATGCCCCCAGGTCTTATGGGCCTCCTTGGGCATGGACTCCTACCTATACAGGGAGCTTCTTTGTGCCTCAGGATCATTATTGTGACCAGAAGAGTTCTTTGAAAGCTAGTAGCTTGCCAACTGGAGGGCAGGCACTAAGATCCCAGGGGGAAAAGATGCTGCTGAAGGTGAAGGCCTCCCTGACACCCTCCACTTCAGGAGAGCAGAGTTTTTCTCCCCCATCATGCACCATAAAGCCTGGGGTCTAACTCCTATGCTCAGGGTCTCCACACAGTCACCAGTTATCATCCTTGAAGGAACTGCAGTAATGGTTTCATCTTCCCTGTGAGGGTGCTGAGGCGCTGGCACAGGGTGCCCAGAGAAGCTGTGGCTGCCCCATCCCTGGCAGTGCTCAAGGCCAGGTTGGACACAGGGGCTTGGAGCAAGCTGCTCCAGTGGAAGGGGTCCCTGCCCGTGGCAGGGGTTGGAGCTGGGTGAGCTTTAAGGTCCCTTCCAGCCCAAGCCTTTCTATGACCTTATCGTCCCCTCAACCACATCAGCCAGACCAGAAGGGTTTTTTATTGGTCCTCCTTGCCAGGGGCAACTCAACTGGTATCAGCCCTTAGCTCCATGAACCAACACACAAGGGGCAGCAAGAAAGGGATGCTCAGGAGCAGAGCACACTCCTCTAATTGTGGGCACCATCAGTAACTTTCAGGTAACACCAACGAGCATCAGCCTCCTGGTGAAGGACCAGCCTGGCTCTGGAGGCTCTTGAAGAACAAGCCAGTGCCTGGTCCTGCCTTGGGCCCTGTGCACATCTCGCCTACTCTGCAGAAGCTTCAGCCCATAACCAGCTCACCAGTAAAAGGGCAAAAGCAGCAGAGGCCTGCAGGGGTGCAAGGGGCAGAACAGACAAGCCTACACAAGCCAGGAGCTTGCATCCCCTCCACTGCCTCCATATTGCATTTGGGAGACAAGCTGGGCAGTTACAGTCAAGACACTTGCAAGAAACAAGAGAATGCCAAAGGGCCAGCTGAGCATTGGCCAGGTGAACAAGGTGAGGGGACACAGATTTTCCTCTCAATTTGAGTAGGGAAGATAAACACCCTGCAGAGAGCAGAGGTTAAGTCCCAGTGCTCTGGGGTCTAAGCCAGAGTCCCACTGCCATAGTCCCCCATGGCATTACTAAAGGAGCAGAGACCAAAGCAGACAGAGCACAGCTGGCTGGTAACACTAAGCAGGGCAGGGACAGGGCCTCCAGTTTCTCCTGTACAACTGCTCTAGACCAAGCACCTTAATCTGGAATTGACACTACTTTACTATTTCAGCTTTCCCTTGGAATTCCACACTTTCAGGGGCTTCATGCTCAGCAGGGGTGTTGGTCTCAATACATTAAAGCATTCCAGTTTCAGATCAGTACAGGCATCCCTACATCTCCAGCTGTCAGCTACAGACCCTGGGGGACTAGGCAGGGGGTTGAACCACCACCAGCATTTCTACAGTAATCCCCTCTAGCCTGCATCCAGGGTATATAACACTGCCCCATCAGAGCTCCTCACTGTGACAAGGACTCGCTCATCTCCTGCAGGACCTTCTCCTCCAGCTTCAAGAGCATTGGAACTGCTTGGCCCCAAGGGGATCCCAGCTGAGCCCCTCAGCTTCAACACCGAGCTAAGCCTGGTGCCTTTGCCGTGACTTCAAGGAGGACAGTTTACTTGCTGGCAGGTAGATTTTCCTCCCAGGAGTTCTAGCCTCTGGCCACAGGGACCAGAGCAACCAGCCAGGATTGAGCCCTGCCTCCTGCCGGGAAGCAGGCTGCACCTCCAGGTCAGGAGTCATCCATCATGCAGCCCTGACTGCTCTGGGCCACACAGACCCGTCCGCTGCGGTTCGCTCCCAGCCGGGAGGAGGCTCTGCCCGGGAGCCAGGGTGCGGAGGCCAGGGTCGGACCAGCCAAGCAGAACCCATGGGAGCGAGCACCAGGGCAGGGGAGAAGGGAGCCGGGTTCTGGCGCAGGGAGCGACTCACCTGAGCGTGAAGAGCAGCAGCTGCGGCGGCGGCCGCTGGGTAGGTGAAGGCAGCATGGGGGATGGCGGGGGTCAGCTCCGTGGTGTACAGCGGGTACGGAGCCCACGCCTCTGGCGATGCTGGGATAAGAGCTGCTCCAGTCAGGTCATCTACACAGCAGGAGACAAGGGGGCAGCAGCTCAGTCACGGGCCCCAGCAGCTTGGCTCAAGGGGTTTCCAACCCCAAGCTGGAGCTTCGCACTGAGGCATAAAATCTTGCACCCCTGCAGCATTCCTGTAACCAGCTGCTCCTCCAGCCTTGCCAAGAGAGGCCAGGAACATGCTCTGTCACTGCTCAGCTACCCACCTGGGCTTTGGACACACACATAGGACAGGGCTGGTGTTACACGATGGCAAGACAGAGGACAGGGCTTTCAGCACCACGTTACAGGCTGCCCAACAAGCTCCAGCAGGGCTGCCCACCCCACCAAGCTACACTGAGGGCATGTGACACAGAACCCATCCTTTCTGGTTGGCACCTAGGGATGATTTAAAGGACTTAGGGTATCACTTGAACTACCCAAACCAGTTCTGCTCTCCCAGCAATTCCAGTGTCCGCCAGAAGCCTTACCAGATGCCTGTTACTCTGCTGTAACCCTAATATTCTGGCCTTCTTGCACCAGGCATATTTCAGCCAGAGCATACATACGTATGGCTCTTTTTCCACCCTGTCAACATTCCCAGGGTTGGGCATCTCCCAGGTTGCACCAGCCGTGACCTCAAAGCATACTCACAAGGGTCCCGTGCAATGAAGTTTGCACCCAAGGCAGGGTGGATGTTGGTAGGATTTGGCGTGGCCATCAGCTTGCTCTTGGCCATCTTTGTGTTGGCTTTTGCAAACTCTAATCTCAAGGTCTGGGGGTTCTCTGGGTCAAAGCGGATGCCCTGTCACAGAAGAAAGCACAAGAATCTCTCAGAGGGGAGGTTTCCAGTCCAAGCAAGGGCTGTGCCTGTCCACGGAGCAAATCCCAGCTGGGGAAGCAAGGCCACCATGCTGCAGTCACATGCCCATGTCACCTCACTGCAACACTCGAGCTCCCACATGCTCGTATTTCTCTGTTTGGCTAGCCTAGGAGCACTGTTTCCAGCATGGGGGATACTTCTGCCAACACTGGCCAGGAAATTTCCACCTGCTGGAGCTGGGATAACCCATCTGTACTGGCGCCCCTACCTATAGTGCTGCTACAGGCAGAGATACTAGCACATGCCATGGTGCCCAAAGCAAGGTCTACAGTAGAACAGAACCAGATCAGCATGTCTTGCTGCCTAGCTCCCACAGAGCATGTGGATAGTTTTGGGTATGCATCCCATATTGACCATCTTCAGGTCTTTTTCTTGATCTGCAGCAGTTGGAAACACTGAATGTGCTGAAGAGCCCATACTAGACAGCATAGGCCCTGCCATGCAAACAGCAGCATGGGAAGGCTGGTTTCCTTCCTTTCCGAAGGAAGTACCTTCTGGCTGCAAAGGTCTTGGCAGATCAGAGTCCAGGACAAGGACCTGCTCTGCTGACCTGCCACACACTTGACACCTGGGCATTTGGCAAGTGAGGCTTTAACAAGGCCAGTAGCAGCAAGCAAGTCCTACAGCCACATGACAGACCAGCTTTGAACTGAGCCTGCTTCTCTACCCTCATACCCTGGTAAGCTTGACCCAGAGCTTCAGAAAGCTCATGTTAAACAAAAGTTGAGCTCCACATGCCTACTTACAGCATTACAGGGTGTCAGCTAGGTATCACCCTGTGCCTAGGAACCATCTGTGCCCACAAGACCCCTCTTCTCATCTGTTTTCCGATGGCTGGTTCCCCAGAGAAAACCTGGCTGCTCCAGGTACCCCAAGCAAAACCCAAGTCAAGTGAGTGCCCATGTTGGTGCTCCTTGAAGAGTAGCTCTGGCCACACATTGACACACATAGATAACCCATGCTCAATTGAGCAAGCTGGCTCTCTTAGTTCACCAGTCTTCCCTATACGTGAGAGAGCACTTAATGGATAAGAAATAGGCTTCACAGCCTGGATCTTGCCATCAGAGGCCAACTATTGAGTTGCATGCAAACTCAAGGAAAAGAAGTAGCTGTTCTTTCCCCATACCCTCACAGGCCCTGAAGCAGTCTTCCAGTGGTCAGAAACTTCACCTACACTAAGTGTGGAATAGTCTGCATTCATTTGCTCACACTGATGTCAGCCTTAAACAGCTCTGCTGCTTCCCTGGGGAGATGCTGCAGGACCATTTAGCTTCTGTACTCAAGGGCACAGCTAAGACACCCTAACCCTTCCCATGCTATAGGCAAGCCAGATACAACTTTAGCCCACAGCTATGGGTCTAGTTACAGCATATGACCCTAGATCTCCAAGATCATCAGGTACTCCCAGCACATTGGGTACTCACATTCAAGGCGTTCTTTGCTGCTTCAGCACCAGCCCGGCTGTCAAAGGTCACAAAACCAACTGGCTAAAAGAAATAATGCTGATTTTAATTTGGAAGTCTCTTCCAGCTCCTCAAGCTACCTGCTACCCCCTCTGCCCCAGACAGTTTACAGCAAGCAGAAGAGACCACCTAAAGCTGCAGAGGGCCTTCAAGGAGGGCTTGAAGTGCCTTAGGTCATCTGCGCAAGAATCCTGCTCTGTGGCTGCTCCCACCACACCAAAATGTTCTGGCATTCATGTATGCAGGGGCACTGCTCATCCTGGTAGGCCCCAGCAAGGGTACCCCATGCTGACAAGGGGGACTGGTTAGGAAGGGGGTTAGGGTGGGACTGGGGAAGGCTTCTGGCAGCACAGGGTTTGAGGCTGAAGCATCAAGTCTCATCCAGCCCATACGGCCCTGGGAAGCAATAGAAGATATGGAGCCATTCAGCACATACTGAGAGCTTGGGGCCACCAGGATAGTGGAGGTGAGAAGAGCCCTGCTGTAGACATGGTGCTAAACACAGCAATGCTTTACATAGTGAAATAGTATCTGTCCCCCTCCCCTCCCACCATGGGTTTTTTTCTAGCAAAACCCAAGAAAGCTGGAAAGAGGAGATACCTGCTTTGAAGTTAGCTTGATCAGTGACCCTTCATAACCCTGCAGAAGGGAAGAAAACAAGTCAGTGTCCGGTTCCTGAAGGAGCCAAGCTACAATCGAGATATGACACAACAGCTCCAGGAGGTCCTGTAGCACCAAATCCTTCATGAGGCAGGGTTTGCAGCAGCAGTAGGTACATTAACACTTCTTTCCCACCAGAAGAAGAGACTTAGAGTAGACTAAGGGCAGAGCACATATCTTACCTAGTGTCTTCTGGCCCTTCAGGAAGAAATCCCATTTTCTAGCCCTTCATCAAGCTACTAAGACTAGCATCTTGCCGGGCTAGTGTCTACAGAGCACAGTTCACACCCCGCTAGAAGACTGCAAACAAGGAAACCCCACTTCCCTCAAGGCAGCCTACATGTTGATCTAGCGAAGGATGGAGAGATAGGAGATCATGACACATCCTCAAGGAAGTACTGATCAGTTAGGCCAAGCAGCCTTCATCAAGCTTGGAGATGGCATGATGTCAGCAACTGTCTCCAGGGGAGGGTCACTAGCTGAGTACAAGCCATAGGTTACCATGTTGGTTTCATAGCAGGTTCCCCAAGCTTTCACAGAAGGCCAACCTTCCCACTTCATCCTTTCTGCCCCTCTGACAGAGATCCTGGCTGCAAGGCTGGCCCTAAGACAGCGTCTTTCTTACCAGAGACCAAATCTGAAAACCTTCTTACCTTGAATGGTCGGAAGAGTAGGTAGAGCTCTCTGGGCTTGATATCCACAGGAAGACCACTGACAAACAGTGTCCGTACCTAGGAGAGAGGTCAACGAGGTCTACTGAAAGGAGATGCTTAGCACCAAAGCAGGAGAATAGAGCACAGCTCCAAAGCTAGGTGCAACAGGAGCAAGACATCTTGCACCAAAGGTGGCCTTGCATGCACCAACCTTTCCCTACTGTAGAGAAGTGCTGGCCAGGATGAAATACACTCACTCCTTTCCTCCATGCCACACAAGATTTAGACTTTTATAAATAGTCCCCAGCAGAACAGTCAGGGTTGATTAGGGCATGGGCACCAGTCCCACAGTCTGACTGGACTTAGACTAAAACTTGAAAAGACCATAGGCTGCCAACAGCACTAACACAGAGTTTGACACATATCGATAGGTCCAGAAGAGACTAGTACATCTCTAGCTCTTTCTACAGATCATACACTAGATCCCCTTGCCTTAGGCTATCATGGCACTTCTGCCAGATTCAAAGAGAGTCCTCAATTTTGAGCAAAACCTCACTGCTATACTTACACCTTCTGACTCCTGCAACAGCCCCCAAACATCACTGGGAGGATGGTTTTGGGGGTCTGTTCCAGCTCCTCCACCAACAAGCATTAGATCCTTCAGAAGCTGCTCCCAAACCAGCTCTGAAGAGTGTTTGCCCATTGTGCCCAACCAAAAGCCAGCTGTGCTGCACAAAGTCCATGGAGGCTGCTGCTCTCTCCAAGCTGTAGAATTAACTTCCTGAGACCAAACACACTCAGCACGTATAAGCAAAAATTGAGTACCAGAGGAAGATTCCAATCCAAAGCCTTGAAATTATCTATGACAGTTCATGTGAATAGCCAGGAAGAAGAAACAGTGCAGAAGGCTCATGGCCTGGGAGAACACAGACCATCATGGCCACCTTCCCCCTGCACACTGGGAGACATTGGCCTGGCACCCTGTTTCCATAGGAAGCACCATGATGAAGCCTCCAAGACTTCTCATAAATCAGCACAGAGCTACAAAGGGAAGTTATGTGCAGAGGTCACAGACACTGGTTATCATTAACAAGGACCATGAGACCACAAGCACAACTCAGGCAGCACAGACAGATGGGTGAGGGAAGATAGAAGACTATATCACAGTATCACAGTATGCTAGAGATTGGAAGGGACCTCAAAAGATCATCTAGTCCAATCCCCCTGCCGGAGCAGGAACACCTAGATAAGGTTACACAGGAACGTGTCCAGGCGGGTTTTGAATGTCTCCAGAGAAGGAGACTCCACAACCTCCCTGGGCAGCCTGTTCCAGTGTTCCGTCACCCTCACTGAGAAGAAGTTTCTTCTCAGGTTTAAGTGGAACCTCTTGTGCTCCAATTTATACCCATTTCCCCTTGTCCTTTCATTGTTTGCCACTGAGAAGAGCCTGGCTCCATCCTCGTGACACTCCCCCTTTATATGTTTATATACACTAATAAGGTCACCCCTCAATCTCCTCTTCTCCAAACTATAGAGACCCAGATCCCTCAGTCTTTCCTCATAAGGGAGATGCTCCACTCCCTTAAGATGGAGCTCTGTATTCCTCATTTTTCATTGCATAGGGATGTCACCCTCTGAGCTAGTCCCAAACAAACCATGAGGAGGTCACAGAGCGATGCCCAAGTGTTCAGAATGGCACCAAATAGTCCCAGACACTTTTGAGCTGCAAAACACACAGCCAGACCAGGAGCTCTCCAAGCCAGACCCCATCTCCTAGCCTGTTCCCAGGCTGGAGTAACCCCCCTGCATTTGCAGGGCAGAAGGAATCTGCTCCCACATTTTAGCTTCCACTCCACCATTGTTCCTTCCCAGACATCTGACACATGGTTAAACTTCTTTTGCCACCCAAGTGAGCAGCACACACTTGCTCTGCTCCTGGGCGGGAGACAGCAAACACCTAAAACCACAGGGGCATGCAGCAGAGCCTCTGCACCCCCTCGCTCTGGAGGCAGCCTCCAAGCAGGAAGGTTTCTCCTTTTTACAAAGAGGACACAGGACTCCCTGAGCTGCTGTGCCCAAGATAGTCCTGGCAGGGCAGGGAGGCACCCTTCACATCAACTCAGGGCAGCTTAAGCCTCCAGGACAGAAAGGAATCATGAAAGCCTTGGGTCCTCTGCCCCTCTTGCTCTCTGTGCACATCAAGACCAGCTGCCACCACCCCGTGAACACCCGACTGTGCTGCTACCACCCCCATCAGTATGCAGAGCCCTTCTCAGCCTGGTGTGCCTCAAGACTGCTGCAGAATGCAGCCACTGAGCACCCTTCCCTCCAACACCAGCTTTCTTCCCATCCCCTCCCCGATTCTTCAGTATGAACGGCCCTACCACACACCCCAGCTTTTGCTGTGCCCTGTCTAGGGAAGCAGTATGCTATCTGCAGCACTCCAGAAACACTTTCCAAGCCCAGGCTCAGGCTGACAGTATTCCCACCCTGCCCAGCCCCTCATCTGATGTTTCAATGGATCACTCCAGGGCCACCTCATGCCCAGACAGAGCTGGCAATGACACTGTCTCTCACTGTGCTGGCTGCCTCTAAGACTTTGGTGCCTGTGCTTCAGCACCAGCTACATGGAGCACTCGCAGTGCATTCCCAGAAGACATACAGCCATCTCTTGCAGGGGAGGTCTGTGCAGTGTGGTGGCACACATGTGCCTCAGCCATGTGAAAGCACCATCCCTTTTCAATATTTCAGGATCTCAGGACCCCAGAATGGATGTTTCTTCCAAGCAGATAGAAATCTGCATCCCTGTTGGGTCTCTAAATGGTCCCGTGATGTGTCATTTGGTAAGTCCTTACGACAGGCGTGACAGAATGGAAGATGCATGGCTGCTCAGGGAAGGGGAGCTCAGCTACTCAGACCCCTTACAAAAGCCTGAACAGAGCAATGCAAGTGCCTAGGAAAGCTCTTTGTCAGAGTAACAAGCTCCTAATGCCAGTCCCATAAGTTGCTGCTGAAGACAGGAGTAAGAGACCTTTCTTTGAAGGCCAAAAGCTTCCCTTGGCCTCCACCAGTCTGTCACCGTACACTGCATTGGGAAGGGTATCTCAGCCAAACCACAGCACCCACCAAGGGCTGGCATCACCTCAAAGAGAGCCTGGAAACAACCAGATGTCGCCAGCTGAAAACCTATGAACAAGGTTTCCCCAGAGGATCTCAGCACAGACTAAGGAAGGTCCCTGCTCAGAAGAGCTTCTCAAAGGTGAAGAGATGAAGTGATTTGTTTTCCACGATCTCTGCAATTCTGCACATTCATTAAGTGGTCGAGAAAAGGGTAAGGGGAAAGTGAGACCAAAGTACCCAGGGAAGGGAGGGTGAGGCTGGTGAGACCTGAGGACAGAGGGAGGTGAATCAGAGGGAGGTCACTTCCAAGACAAGGTATAAACATGGGATCAGCAGCAATCAGAAAGCAAGGAGATCTGGGTTATCCCACAGGAGAAACGCAGGAGGCAACTTGCCAGTCTGAGCATCCTGTGCACTGTGGCCAAGCCTGGTCCAACCTCCTCCCCCTGCTCCGGAAAGAGGAAACCAGATGAGGGCAACAGGGTCTGAACAAGCACCTCCCAATGGATTAGCTGAACTGGGACTCTCCAGTCACTCCCCTGCAGTCCTGCAGGCTTTGGGAGGCCACCAGGACCAACCAGGGCAGATGGAATCCCACCTCCTAGCCCTTGCACTCAGCATGCAAAGACAAGGTAGACTTCTGCTTAAATAAATGTTCCCTGCTTCGACACCCTGCCACCAGCCAGCAGGTTCAGCCTCCCCAGAGCAGCTGGAAAAGCCACAGGAGAACAAGAAGATCCATTCTGAACAAGCTGCGGACCTGCCTGGGCCATCTGTACGTTCAGCAGGAACTTGGAGAAGATACAGCAGAAGCACATCTCCAGCAGTACCTTGTTCTTAGACTGCAGTGGTAGCAGCCGCCCAAGACACCAGGCAGGAGCGGCCCCATCTTGCCCAGGATGGCTGATCCGAACAGGACACACGGACAGGAGGGAAGCGGGGCAGGGAGCAGCTCATGTACAGAACACTTCCCTTTCCCCATCCTGCCCCCTCTGGGGATCTCCCCAGCCCAAGCACCTGGCAGGGATGGAGGAGAGCCGTGGCAAACAGGACTTGTGCCAGGAGGAACAAAACCATCTGGGCCATCTCTTTGAGAGGGAGGATCCCAGCATAGCTCCCCACGCAGGATGGAGGGATGGACAAGGACAACCCCAGCTAGTGCTCAAGTGGCTCTGAAGCACTCACACAGCTGTGTCTCACAGAAGAGACACATCTATTACAAGCATAGCCAAGTACTTAGCACCAAAGCTTTTAAGAACCCAGGCAGAAACACCTGCCTCTTCCTACCGGAGCTCCAGCAATGCCAGGACATCAGCACGGGTCTTACAACATCCACATCTCCCAGCCATGTCTGCTTTTAAAGAAGAGCTCTTGAAAGGGTCCCAAGAGGAGCCAGGCACTGCCCTGGGGCCCAGCAAGGGTCAGGTTATGTGAGAAACATTACATGTGAAGGCATGAGTACCTGCCTCCAGTGACGTGGCTCTGGTGGGTCTCCAGTGCCAGGCTTCCACTGAGAGACTGCTCTAAATCATCCCAGAAGCCAACAGAGCTGACCCTCTCCTCCTGCAGGATCAGCCCTGGTTTTGCATAGCTGTGGCCTCTCCAGGGCCACAAAACCAGCCTGGTCCTCGGGCTGTGCTCCCACCACCTGGAGCACACAAGCCTTTATCACCAGCAGTTAGGAGACATCAAGAACAGCTACAGCAGTAACATGCTCTAGTGCCTCATCTGCACTATACCCCTAGACACCCCCTGCTCCAGGAAGCCACCCACAGCTACAGGCCATTTTTCCTGGACACAAGCCACCTCCCTCTCGTTCACACCAATACATCCACAGAGACTTCTCCCTGTGCCAGCAGCCAAAGGGAGCCCCCGCGCCATCCAGGGACAGGCTCAGCCACAGCATCCCAAAGGCAGTCCTCGAGGTGCTGCAGCTCTTCCCCTGGGAGAGCATCACA